ATACTTCTTCCAGTTGAAGACGGTCACATATAACTTCTGGCTCAGATTAATCCGACCAAAGATTTATTCTGATACTTCCTCCAGTCAAAGTCAAACATATACATCTTCTGGCTCAGATGGATCAACCATAGATCTATTATGATACTTCTCCCAGTGGAAATCAGTCGTAAAAATCTCCTGGATCAGTTTAAATCAAGCATGTATTTATTCTGATACTCCTTCCAGTAGATATTTTCTGGCTCAGATGAAATTGAGCATAGGTTTAGTCTGATACTTCTTCCAGATAAAGACAAATATAGACCTTTCATGGCTCAGATTAAATTGACCAAAGATTTATTCCGATACTTCTTCCAGTTGAAGACGGTCGCAATTAGCTTATGGCTCAGATTAGATCAACCATAGATTTATTCCGACACTCCTTCCAGTTGTAGACAAACACATACATCTTCTGCTCAGATTAAATCGACCATAGATTTATTCTGATAGTTATCCCTGTTGAAGTCAACAATTTACTTTGGAAGGCATCTATAAGACCATCTCTGACGACTCTCTATCACCTCTCCAAATGGCATCTATAAGCCCATTCCAGGTACAATCAACTAACAATGTTACCTCTTGCACATGTGAGTGCAAATTTCTGGACACTTAAGTGTTAAATCATCTCCTACCTTCAAGTCACGAATGGAGGACATGCCAATCTAACTCTTCAGATTTAAGAAGATTGAATAGGGGCAGCTGTTGTACCCCAAAATTTTCCCTCCCATTTTTCTCAAGACACGCTTTCAAAGGTTCTCAAGATACTCAAGGGTTGACCAGTCAATGCTCCTCCTAAGCCAAAAGCCTACAACTAGGGTTTTGAGTTTCTCAAGGAAATTGGGGTTGAAAAGGTCTCAATTGGTTTTCATGGTTATCCGTAGGTTCTTAATAAGGTTCATGTCAAGTTTCAAGTCCTACATCACAAGTTTGCTCAGTCAATGGCTCAGATGATTGAAAATCAACTATATTGGTCAAAAAGTCAATTGTGGTCAACATACAGTCAAACTTCAATATTTTTGGTCAACATCAACATTTTGAAGTGATATTCATCATTTTATCATGGATTGATCACGATTCCCCAAGGAAAGATCTCAAATCATCAAAATTCAAGAATTGTCAAATTAGGGTTTCCTTAGGAGAAGTCAACTGCACTTTGACCAAACATAACTTTCACATGCTTCCTCAAATTTTCCCCAACCAAAGCCTATTTTGAAGAAAATTAAATTATCTACAACTTTTATTTTATGCTCAAGTCCAAAAAATGCTTCATTTGAAAGATATAAGCTAATAAATTATAGGTTATTTTCAAAAGTCAACAAAAGACATTGTTTGTCAAGGCAACTTACATCAAGATAATTTCTCCAAATGAAAAAATGACCAACATAGATATTATAGAGGACATCTTGAGCTTTCCAAAAAGTCAAAGATCATCTTCAAAAGATGAAAATTGAGCAAGTTATGAGTTGCACAAGTTTGGAAATTTTGAAGAAAGTCATGAAATGCAAATTGAGCAAAATTGCAATTTTGAACTAATGAGCCTAATTTTTTGGTGTTCAAAAATGTTTACAAAAATTAGAGAACCTATAAAAATAACTCACACATTTCATTTATTTTTTTATAGTTTTATTTGAATTTTTTCATTTAAAAAATAGATAAAATCAAAAGAAAATGACAAATAATGTGTGAGGTTTTGGGCCTCTTGATTTTAGCCCTTTGCAAGCCCAATGCATTATGTCACAACTTGTAAACTGTGACTAGGTTCGTTGCAAGCTTCAAATGGCAAGAGACATGACAAAAATGGAAATATTTCAAAATTTTGATATCATTTGATGAGAGCCTTCATGGCTTGATTCATTACCATGTTTGCCAGCCTCATACTCCCTCTATATAATGCAAGCAAACTGAGCCAAAAATAACAAGAAAATCACACGCATAGAAGCTAACAAAAACTATTAAAAATTCTCAAAAAATCTCGCGCCTCAAAGTTCTGTTCCCAGTCCTTCTCAGCCGCAACCAGGCCCTGAGATCATCTCCTAGACGTTCATAAGGTGGGTAAGGGTAAGTTTTAACGATTCTCCAAGCCTGAATCGTGCTACCTATCACCTCCGTTTGGCATTTTTATTCATCATTCATATTTACAAATCCATGCATTGATATTTGTTTCTAATCACTTATATCGTCATATATCATCGTATAGAATAGATCTGGACATAAAGTATGAAGCTTTGACGTAAGAATTGTGTTTTTTCATGATTAGGGAAAAACACTTATGCATTTTCGTATCGATATATCCATGCCGATTCAGATCAAAAGAACCTTACCATTAAACTCGTAGGGTTTGGTTTAGTAGGATAGGATATTTCTGGATTTTTGAAATGGACGTTTTTGTAGGTTTGAGATTTTGCATAGCTGGAGAAGACGACCGGAGGTTGACTCCGGCCAAGGCTTGCATGGAATAAAGCAGCACTTTAATTGGATCATTCAAATTCCAAGGGACCCACTGGGACGCGTGTGTTTGACAATCTAAAATTAGCTGGCATTTAATTTTATATTGTTATGGTTTGATTATGCTAACAGATGAATCACGCTACCCCAGTGACAACACATGCGTACATAAGGCCTTCATGCTCCTTGTCCTAGGTTCGATCCCGGCGCAAGGCATTTTTATTTTTCTTGTGTTATTCTGGCAGATCTGGTGCATGCAAGTCCAGTGTGCATACAATGCAACTCAAACCTGGGCCATCTGATCTCAAGGTATCAAATCCAATGCCCCTGGATTTGCAGGAATACCATGAGACGCATGGATTTAGATGTGCTGGATCACATGTAGCTCCTACGCTCAGTTCTTATTGGGCCTAACAAACTCTGGATTGCACCCCCTAACCTTTTTTTTTGCAGCGCAACCCATTTATATAGTTTTTTTATTTCATTTTGATTTAATTATTTTTCTTTTCTTTTAATTACTAATTTGCATTAAAAAAATTATAAAATCAAATAAAAATTAGATTTAGGACTTAACTAATTAACTTTATTTTTACAATAAAAAATTAATTAATTAAAATCATTTTGAGTTTATTTTGTTAATTAAATTGGTTAGAATTAGGTTTATTATCATAAAGCTTTTTTAATTAAAAACAACAAATATATTTTCTTACTTAGAATTTTTTTAGGGTTCTAAATATTTTCCCTTTTCTCTTCTTCGCGCGTTCATTTACTTTTGTTCGCATTTTTCAATATTGTAACTGTTAAAAGTTGTAATAGTTTAAACTAGGTACTTTTACTTTCTTTCACTAACTTTTTGGTTTGTATTCCCCCATCCTAAAGAGATGTAATAACATAGTTTAATTCTCGCATCTTTATTTTTCTTCCCTTATATTTAAACTGCTAGATGTATGCTAATAGGTTTGCATGAGAAGACTTAAAAGAAAATGATAGAAAACCTAACATCCAAGATAAAAATAACTGAAGCACAACACACTTTGAACACACACACCTCTAAGGTACCTCCACTGATTGCCTTTGGAAAACAAGCAGTCACGTCTCTCGAACGTAATAAGTTTTAGTAAAGATCCTTTGGTTGCAAGATCATAGTCCCTCGATGACTCTTCGTTGTTGCCTCGGTAAATGATCTAGATACCTCAGGGTAATTACTAAAGCATCTTACGAGTTGCCTTCGTGACTGTACGACGACCCTCGCATGTCCCTCAAACATCCAATGATAGGGCTACCTACTAACAAACAGTGGGATAACACTATCTAAAGGAAAAGAGGAAAAGAACAAAGATCTTTCGAGTAGGTAGACAACTTGTAGTTACTTTCTCACAAAACAAACCAATTTCTCACACATACACTCTCTTTTCTAAATATTTTCAAGGACAAAAACACTTTGTATGCATTCTCAACAATACGAGAATCATTACAAAGTTTGCCGCACTAAGGCATCTTTTCAAAATATTTTCAAAAATACACTTACACAAAAAGAATTTTCAAAGTGAGCTAGCAACTAAGAGCCCGTAGATAACTACGGATGGAAAGGGTGTTAACACCTTCCCTTTCCATAACCTACCCCCCTTACTCAGAAAAACTCTCGAAAGGTCTTTCCTGTTCTTTTGACCCTTTCCTTTATTTTATTAAAGAAAAGTCAGTGGCGGCTCTTGCTTACCGCAACATTTACGATAAAATGAAAAACCAGTAAAGTAAGTTATCCCAGCGTATTACAATATTGAAACATTATAGGCCATTTCTTGACCTCTATTTTCAATTAGCGTCATAATTTCTTAAGACATGTATTTTTTGTATTGAGTTTACTAGTTGTTCAAGCCACATGATATTTCTTGAATTCATTAAGTGTTTTTCTCAAGAATTGATTGGAAAATCAAAATCCATTCTTGTGAATTATTTGGAACCCAAGAAGTCATGTCGCTTGGAAATTAAGGCATAGTTCTTCAATTCTTTCGAGATTTAAAGTGGGTGGATTCAAAAGTTTCATTTCTTGAGTTTGGAATTACAAGTTTCATCCATTTATTTGAAGACACTTGAACATAGCGATGCATCCAATTTATCGAAAGGTCAGAAGAAAAGGTTAAGTTTGGTAAGGGCACTTGAAATGTAAAAACTTTACAAGGTTACAAGTTCATTCAATTTCTAATGTATTGCATCACCAACATCATTTCAAGGTTAGAAGTAAAGGACATGAACCTTAGCTAAAGTTTGTGTGGAAACATATGAAATTTTATTGATTTGATTTCAAAACAAATCCATACAAATATCATTTTATCTTAACTTCTTCAAGAAGATTTACAAAGAGGTTTTCAAGTATTTTTATACAAAGGCTATTGTGTTAAACCTATTCTACTCAATGCCAAACCAGATAGTCCTTGCTACAAGCTGCTACACTCCAATACATGCTATGCTATGTTATCATTGTCCACACAAGTCCAAGAACATCAGTCCAACACTTTGCACTAGTTGTTGTCCCAACCTGTAAAACCTGTCATAACAGTCAAATACAACCTACTGCCTTGTCTCTTTCCATCTTGTTTCATGCTCCAAAACAGCCTAAAACAGTCCATGTAAAGACAACCTACTATGTTGTCCCAAAACCCACTGCTACTAGCCTGCAGAGACATGCCAAAAAACTTCTCTACAACACTCTAAAACCTATCAACATTGCACAAAAATGGTAAAAAAAATATGCTTTAAGAAAGGAAATAGAGCATTACCTAAAACAGTTCAAACCTCATCAACTTTCCCCCCAAAATCCACCCTCATTTCACTATAAAAACAAAGCAAAAAACCAGAGAGAGAGAGAGAGGGGAGAGAAGAAAGGGATAGAAAAATACTTACAAGAAAAACCTCTACACAGTTCCTTCAGTTCACCAACTATCTCATATAATTTTCTTCTCATAACTACTTTCAAACACCTCAAGCAAGTCATCAGTGTGACATACCAAAACCTGCGAAAAACCATCTTCTGCAGCAAAATCCATCAAAGCATTACTCAATATTCCCTCTAAACCGTGAACTTCCTCACAATCTTCATAATTTTCCACAACAAACAACACTCTACCTAGAAGTTTCCTTCAACTTCACTCAGAACCCGCAACCCATAATCCACCTTCACTTTCAAACCTTCATCACCATAAACTAACTTTCCTCCAAACAACAAATCTCTATCACGCGTACAAAATGCAATAACTTCAACAATAGTTCCATCATCATAACCGGAAGTAGTTAACACCATTGTAAACCCGCACCATCATCATCAGCATCACACCACACCAAGTGTCATCTGCAGAATCACCGCAACAACTTGAAATCAAAAACACAAAAGAAGGAGAAAAATAACACAAAAGATATCTCAAAACTTTTATTCACATACAAAAACACCTAACTTCATAACTTATGTAAAAAAAAGGATATTACCAAATCAAGCACCAGCATAACAAAAATAATAGAAGGGGGGAAACTGGAATACATCATGTTGCAGAAAGGAAGATTATGAACTCACCGATTTTCTTCAAGAAACTCCATCAGAGAGACTCCGATAGGTACTTCTCCCCTTTACTATTTTGTCTGCATTTTCATCCAGATATCATTGTTTTTTCTCTTCATATATGTTTCTATTATTGTTGTTTGAACTATGATATAAATCATTCCATTTGAGTAATTTTAAAAATGAACAAAAATGTGTCATTATTGGAACCATAATAGAGAAATAGAAATTGATAAACACTGATTGAAATAATTTAAACTGAGATGAACTGAAACTCTTTTTCTTTTAAAAACCATGAGAACTCACCTTGAATTTTCCGAATAATTGTGAATTGTTGAGAGCCAATGTTGATGTTGAATCGTGAGGGTAAGAACCAATTGACTTTTCACTATGTGTTTTTTTAGACAGTGATGATTTAAGTTTTGTATTTATTACCCATGTTTGTAAAGCAATGAGCCATGAGCTAGTATCGTCACGAAGGGCGTACAGAGGTTGAGCGATGATAGCATATATCGAGAGGCGAGAGAAAAGTGGAGAAATAGAGAGAGAGAGAGAGAGAGAGAGAGAGAGAATATCGCTGTTTTACCTTGAAAGATTGGAACAAGAGGATCATTTAAGAAGAAGAAGTGGGCAATCAGTTATTGTTTCATGATAAAGAGTGACTGAGAGAGTGTTGAAATAGAGAAAAATTGGGCGTGAGAATGAGAGATACCAATTCAATAAGAGAAACGAATGAGAACTGAGATTATATGTTGTTGATTTTCGAAATCTGAGAGATTAAGCTGAGTGGTGATAAGTTTAGAAACAAAGATGAAGGGAATTGTTTGAGAGGCTTGGTTGAGTTTGAAAGAGAAAGACATAATCGTGAAGGTCGTGAGATCGTGAATGAACAATTTGTGAGAGAGAGTTTTTTTTTGTTTTATTTATAATTGATTAAGAATTAAAAAATTAATTACAACTTTTCCTCTCTCCAAGGTTCACCAGCGGCGCCCATCTTACAATTAGGGTTCCCCAAAACCCTTTCTTTACCCTACTCGAACAGGTTAACCCATTGGGGCCTGTTAACCCAATCATATTCCATCATCTCCCTTTTGTTTCAACTAAAGCATAAATATAACAACAAATAAGCATAGTGTGGTGGTAAGGCAATTTCTTTGCAATCTTGGGGTCTTGAGTTCAACCCATGATATTCCCCTTTTTTTTAGTTTTTGTTTATTTAGCCTTATTTAATAAAATTCATTGAAAAAACATAGTACAAAAACATTAGTTTAGATTATAATTATTTTCTTGTCCTTATAAAAATACCAATATATATATATATATATATATATATATATATATATATATATATATATATATATATATATATATATATATATATATATATATATATATATAAGTCTCTTTTATTTAATTATTTTTTAGTTGTTATCATTTAATTGTTTAATTGCTATTTTAGTTAATTTTTCTTTTCCGATCATTTAGCCTTTATATTTTTTATTGTCTATTACAAGGGAAAGCATTAATTAGTTGACTTCATGTCATCATATATCTATTATGATTGTGCGAAACCCCTTTCACACATCTTAGTTTTGTTAATCTTAAGTTAAATCTCGTGAAAAACTCAATTTTTAAACTTACACTCATTTAAGCTAAAACATAGACTCTAGGTCGTCACATCTTCAAGATCTCATCCCCATACTCATTTAGCAAGCAAATCAATTTTAACCAAAAAACAAATATTTCAAAAGGTTCCTATAGGATACTATAGATACATAGGGTGGTAGTACTTTCCCTTTGTATAACCAACCCCCGAACCTTTGATCTCTTTCAAATGCATCGTATTTTTCTTTACTTTTAGTATTGCACTTAGTTTGCATATATATATGGATTTTATTTCACACTTTTCTCTTTTCCCTTGGAAATGATAAAGCGCGGTGGCGACTCTTGCTTTTGCGAGTCAAGTTAATTAAATAGCTTGATCTCTGATTTTCACCGCTACATCATGCTTATAAAAAGTAACATCTGTATGCTTGCTTACCAGCCAAAATTTGTATCCAGACAATTTGGTCTTTGCCAATTAATTCCTGAGTCTATCTTTGGGAGAAAACATGAACTTTGCACAACCTGAATGAAATTGTCTCGTTCAGACTGGAAACAACACACGGCTCGACACATCAATTTCGCATAATTTAACCCAATTCCTTTTTGCTCATCTTTCTACTGCTCGAAGGGCTTTGACATTTGGTGGAAGGATTTTTATTCAAAGAATATGTTTGAAACCATTTTTCTTAGCCAACATCTGACAAAAGCTTTTACCTCTATGTAGGATCCAAGCCACAAAGGTAAATACACACATATCAATGAAATCCAGGCATTCCAAAAATACTTTGAAACTGTCTATGATCCAACAAACATTAGTTGAACCACTTTTGATACACCAAAAACTTTAAAAGAGAAATTTACTAAAATGCTCCCTCGTTTAAAAACTTATACTTGTGTCAAACCTGAACATAAATATGACTTAGCTTTTAAACTTCAACCACCAAAATTTCCAAAATTACCAAGTGCTGATTTTGCCTTGGCTTTCTATCCTCCTTACCCAAACTGGTTCGTTTATGGTAATTACCTTAACTTTTTTAAAACAAGAGTCTCAAAAACCTGCTAATTGAGTGGTTTCGACTAAGTACACTTTTGACAGTTTTAAAGGTTTCCTTCATTATGACTTGTCAAATGTCTCCATCCTCTATCCGACAAGTGAAGGTGTGGAACCAAAGGATTTCCATGGTTCTTTTGATTTATCTTATAATTACTTTCTTCATACCAGATACTAACCACTATTGTCAATGTACATTGTTTTAGTTGTCGAAAGAAATAATACTAAGAAGGAACAAACTAGTTCAAAGACAATTTCAACAGTAGCTTCCAAACCCACCAATGACTCAACAAAAAGCACCACTCGAGATACTAAGAAATCTAAAACATCAAAGGTATGATTATAAAATTTACTTGCCTTTTGTGCTATATTATTTCTTCTAACAGTATTATTTTCAGGCTAGTCAATTACCTTCGAAGTCTGCGCACAAGAGAAAATCTAGCCAAGACATTTCAGCAGAAATCAAAGATGATGAAGATACTCCTCCTACTCCTCTACAATCCATGAAGCCAAAGAAAAATAAAATGAAGACATCTGATGTAGCTTCTTCCCAACCAATCAAGCAGAAGCCTGAACTCACTATCCTGCCCCCAAAGCCAAAAGAAAAAGTATGTCCCAACCATCTGGGGGTGTAGTCTTAGAAAGGGTCGAAAGTGACAAATTAAGTCCTGATGGACAAAAGGTAAAACTTCTACTCGTTATTTTCTTTCAGTCAACATTGTTCTTCTTTCGAACCAACAATATTTTATCTTGCAGGAAAATCAACAAACTTCTTCTGAATCTTCAAACAAACATAATGCTTTTCCTGATAGTGGTGCTGCTTCGTACCATCCTTTGTCAAGTGACAAACCATTCAGCAAGGGATCTTCCGCTGCTATCAACAAACTTGACACAACTTTCGAATCCGAAAAGGACAAGAATCCTACAACAAAGAAGGACCTAGAAGCACACCAAATATCCAAGTGGGCTAGCGATGATGAAGGGAATCAGGATGAAAACCATAATGATTCTTCACCCAACAAGATATAATTTGTTGATGATCCTTCTGAAGAAGAGGAACTTCTCACTGATGATGAAATTGCATCATACTTGGCTGATGATATTGAAATGGAGAAAGAAGAAAAACAAGGAGAAGAAGACAAAGATCCTCAAGTCCGAGTTAGTTCCCAAGATAAAATAATTCACGGAGATCAACAAACCCAATGCAATGTTTCGCCAGAATTCTATCAAGAAACATTGGACACGCTCAAGAAAGACAAACCTCTTGAATATGTAAGGTTGATGATGGTGAAAAGGGTACCATTTCCCTAAAAGACTTGCCCCAGTCCATATGCAACTTCGAGCAGGAGTTCCCAAACTAAAACCAATGAACAACTTCTCCTAAAGATCAAAGAAAAATTCTTCGAAGCTGACATATTTGAAGTCTTGAAGGGCAATGCTACTGCAAGTGCTATACTGAAGAAGTTGATAAATTAAATCAACATAATCACATGCCCTACTGAGACTGCTGAAATCCTCATGGATGTGACTACCTTGACCAACATAATCAGTGCAAATTACCTTAGAGAACAAGACATGACCTCAAAGCTTCATGAGAAACAAAGTCTACAATAAACTAAGTGGTCGAAGGCTTTTTGACTCAACGAATAAAGATGAGCAACTTGGAAAAGAGTTTACTCAAGTCAACGAAGAGTTTGAGACTAACATTCATTCTATCTCTTTCTGGAAAGAACAAATCAAAGAGTTGACATAAAATATTACCCAGACAGAAGCACGACAAAAGGTTATTGAGTAGATGGATCGCACTGAAATGGAATGTGAAATTGCTCAGAGTGTGGAACATGTGGATGCAGCTAAAAAACTTGAAGATGGGATAGCCGCTCTTCATGCTAGCAAATAATCCATTGACTCAAGACTCAAACTACCAAAGACCAAGTATAGCAGAATGAAGGCTAACTTAGCTTTCTAGTCAATTAAAAACTTTTGATGTATTGTTTGTTGTATTTCTTATGCAATTTCCAGACAACGCAATTTTTGGCACTTTATAACACCATTTTGGCTTTTTACTTCGTTTTTTTTACTATTCTGTTGA